TTTTTTGCGTTTAAGATCAGCAAGGATTTCACTGTTAAGCTAAGCAGGTCGCCTGCCATATTTACTATTCTTTCTACACATCAGGATGGTTTGTTCCTGCAACCTCAATAAGGATTCTTTAAAATACAGCCAGCTTTCCTGGACTCCTTTCCCCCTCATGTTATTCTCCCAGGGGCTCCTGCCCATCAGTTCCCTGAGGGAGTCAAAGTCTGCTTTTTTGGAGTCCAGGGTCCGTATTCTGCTGCTCTCCTTTCTTCCTTGTATCAGGATCCTGAACTCGACCATCTCATGGTCACTGCCGCCCAGGTTCCTATCCACTTCTGCTTCCCTTGCTAATTCTTCCCGGTTTGTGAGCAGCAGGTCTAGAAGAGCTCTGCCCCTAGTTGGTTCCTCCAGCACTTGCACCAGGAAATTGTCCCCTACACTTTCCAAAAACTTCCTGGATTGTCCGTGCACCGCTGTATTGCTGTCCCAGCAGATATCAGGGTGATTAAAGTCTCCCATGAGAACCAGGGCCTGCGATCTAAGAGGATGTGGGAAAAGCTAATGTAATGTCTCCCCTGCCTCCTGTTCTCTTGGGATCTTCCTCTTCCTCAGGGATCCTTCCCCTGCCTCCCGGGCATTGCCCTCCTCTCCCTATCTCCTCCCCTCCCCCTGGGCATTGCCAGCTCCCCACATGGGGACCCATTCTCCAGCCCCCTAGTAAGGACACTGTACTTGGCTCTTACCATAGGTCTCCGTGCATGCTGTGGGGCTGTTCACTTTGTTACTCCAGCTGCTGCAAACAGGACCCAGAAACTGCAGAAACCAAACTGCCATGCTCCTGACTGGTTCCTGTCACTGGGTGGCTACTGGGTGGCTGTCATACAAGCTCCCTAGCTTGTGGGTCAGGTGCACTTCCTTGCTGATGATGCTTGATCTAGGAGACTAGGTAGCTCAGGCACTTGGGAATGAGCCATGAAGCCTTTCTCTGCATGGTTACCGGTTCAAATCCTGCCAGTGCAAGTCTGGATTTTGATGGTTTATGAAATTAGTGGAGAGGCTGTCTTGCTCCCACTGCATGACTACGCATGGCACAAAAGTCACCCTCCCCATTGATGCTAACTGACCTATTGGCAGAGAAGCAAGAACAAGGATTGAGTTGGCCATGGAGACTGAACTCCCATCATCCTTAGACAAGCCCCATGCGGTCAGGCTTGAGGGCAGTTGGTGGGGAGCAATATGTGGGCAGCTTGTACTGCTGCTCCCCAAACTACGGAGATATAGGCTCCTGGGCTGCCAAACCGCTGCCTTCCCCAGGATGAAGCTCACCCATCCAAGAAAGAGTCTTGTTTTTGATCCCCTTCTTCTCCCTTCTCCCTTCCTCCCCTACCTGCCTGGCAACAACCCTTTTAAAAGCCCATGGAGTCTGAGACTAGAGACAGGCAGGTTTGACACCCTTTCCTTATCTCTGTGTCCAGAGGCTCAAAGCAGTGGCAGCCGGATGTCGAGTGGGCCAAGCAGTTTGCAGGTGTGGTCATGTACCCCACCAAGGAGAATGAGAAGTGGGTGGTTCCCTGGAATGGTGAGTTCTGTCGAAGGCACCTGCCCCATTAAATGCATCATCACCATGCGGATGCTCTTGTGTTGGTGGTTGTCATGTTTTAAGTTTGGAGCCAAACCTGCCGCTGGGATGTGCAGTCCCCACCTCTGTGAACATCGCTGGATTGCAGCTGAGGACCCCTCTTGGGCCTGATCCTGTAGTGAGCTCTGTGTAGATGGACCCCTGTATTTTCACGGAGCGTATTGCTGAATCGGGGCCTTACATTGTCCCAGCTGAGATCGCGGGAAAACAAATGTGGTCAGCGTGGAGGGAGCTTCCTTAGTTTAAGGTGATCTGGGTAAAGAAATAAGTCTGGGTTTGGTTGTTGGTTTTTTGTTTGTTTTGTTTTGGTTTTTTTTGTAACCAGCATCTCCCTTTTTATAGAAATGATTCCATGGCTTTTATTTTAATGTAAGTGGAAACAGGATTTGGGGTTTGAGACGTCTCTTTGCTGCATCTGAAACCCAAACACAACTGCTCTGTGCATGAAGCGATGATGGGGACAGGTCAGTTATACAGAGCGCTAGGGATTGCCTTGTAAGATGGGCTGATTTGAACCTGCATTTTAACACAGCCAAACACAAGCAGAGGCGGCAGGTCATGCTGACTGGATGGGAGGCAGCATCCTGGAGTGCAGTGATTGAATAGGGTGTAGGAATAACTGATGTTTGGGTTTGCTGGCCATGCTGCGGGGGGGATTGGTTTGAGTCACAAATTCACAAAACGTTTGTTGATCCGAATCTGCATCTCCTCCTCCCCCCTCCCCCCCCAAAAAAAAGTGGTTAAAAAAATTGCGCTCCGCTCTAGTTGGGCTGGGTTAGTTGGGTGTGTGCGTGTCCTGGTAGCTAACCAATTGGATAGGAGTTGTGTGATACGGTAGCTAAGAGGGCTTATGTGATCCTCTAGCTGTAAAGGCATTACTGGATACTGTGTGTAATTTGGGTGCCCGTGCTTCAAACCAACTGCTGACAAATTGTAAAGGTTTCAGAAAAGAGCCACAGGAATCCTAGAATATCAGGGTTGGAAGGGACCTCAGGAGGTCACCTAGTCCAATCCCCAACTAAATCATCCCAATGAATGATTCACTGACTGGGAAACCTGCCTGAGAGACTAAAAAAAGCTCCGTCTAGTTCGTTTATCCAATGAAGGTTAAGAGGTGACTTACTCAGTTACAGGCACCTACCTGGGGAAGAGGTTTCTGATAGAAGATGGCTCTTTAATTTGCCAGAAAAAGGCATAACTTGATCCAGTGGCTGGAAGCTGAAGCTAGACTAATTCAGACTACAAATAAGGCACAAATCTTTATTAGTGAGGGCAGGTAGCCACTGGAACAATGTACTGAGGGGTTTGGTGGATTTGCTGTCAGGAGAAGTCTTTAAGGTGTTGTCTTTAAAAGATTTGTAGCTCCACCCCGAGATATGGGCTGGACACAGGAATCATGAAATGAAATTCTCTGGCTTGTGGTATGTGGGTCAGGCTAGATGTTCAGAGTAGTCGTTTCTGGTCTTAAAGTCCATGAAAAACATCCCTCAGCTGCAAATCTAAACCCTAGGTATTGTGTGCGAGATTAGAAAACAAGACCCCGAATGCAGGAAGTGGGGGGAGAGCCTCAGTGGGAAGAAGTCAGGATAGAAACTTTCCCCTTGCTGTAATTCATGCTTCTGCTAGTTACAAGGAAAAGGCATTTTGCGTGAAGTGCTGACTGGGATTTTTAGCTGGTTTGTCCTTTTAAGCCAAGTGTCTCGGTAGCCGGCAGACCTGTGGACGCATTCGCTGTCTTTCCGGTCACTGAGACGTGCTGCCGATGGATTGGAAAACAATCAATCTTAGGCAGTCTAACGTCTGACCTATAATATTTGAGTTAAGGACGGCTGACTAGTGTGTCATGGTGTGAGCTGACTGCTGCAGTGGTCAGGAAGGGATTTCTCCCCCCATGCAGAATGCATTATGGGGCATGCTCCCCTCCTGTGAAGGCTCTGATCTTGGCAGCTGAAGGAAGAAAGAAGCGAATGCACATTCTGTGTGTGACACTGTTGGGGGGAATGCTTGTTGTGGGAGGGTGTATTCGGGGATGGTGACGGATGGGCTGCGTGGCTGTGGAGTTGTCCCTAGCAGTCTGCTGCTCTTCACGCGTGTTTGGGAGGTGGGGGGGGAGTTACTGTGGTTTAGCGCTGTGTGTCCAGGTGAGCAGCGCTAGGCCTGCCGTTGTGGGAACCATGTACATGAGTTTCCCTGTGCTGAGTCACTGTGGGGCTGCCGGCTCTGCCGGCGAGCTGGTGAAATTCCACGATGTGCGAATGCTACAGCGACTCTAACGGAGCTCAGCGAGGTGCAGTTGCTTTGGCTGTTGCGATTGTCCCCGGAGTTTATCGTCCCCGAGGGGCGGTGCCTGCGGGTCGTGAGAGTCCAAGAGAAACCTGAGCTCAAGAGACTCTTCTTGAACTACACCTTTACCCGAGATAACGCGACCCGATATAACATGAATTCGGATATAACATGGTAAAGCAGTGCTCCGGGGCAGGCGGGGCTGCGCACTCCGGTGGATTAAAGCAAGTTCGATATAACACAGTTTCACCTATAATGCGGTAAGATTTTTTGGCTCCCGAGGACAGCGTTATATCGAGGTAGAGGTGTATCTGCAAAGGAGCAATGACTCAAGCTGGAATGGGAAAGCCCCCAAGGGCCGGCTACTCGGAGCTCGGCAGGAGCTAGGGGGCAGCCTGCAGGCCCGGGGGGTGGATTTGGAAGTGCAGCCTTGCTCAGTGTGATGCTTTCTGGCATGGCAGAGCAGAGCTCTGCCCGGGCTACGGCGGCTCACGTTGGGAATTCCCCCACTTCAGCAGCCCCAGGAGGCGTGCAGAGAGGGAAATGTGGTCAGTTTTTTCATGAGATGCCTGCAAGATTTCCCCCCCGCTCCCCTGCTGGGCAGAGGCCAAGTTTGGGACAGTTTGTCCCAGACGAGGCTTCCTCTTGGGTGGCCCCTCCAAGGCAAGCGCTCTTCGCTCCTGCTCTCCCTCCTCACCACAGCCAGGCGCTCCCGGCCTCTGGACTCGCGTGGGGGCTCGCCGCTCTTTAGCTCGCGCTGGGCACAGCAAACGGTGGGGCGCACTCACTCGGGTTGCCCAGAGAGCAAACGAACCCCCTGCATAATGTGAGATGAGTATGGAGGCCTTAGAGCGACAGGCCTGGGGCGGCTGCACCCGTAGACGAGCCCAGTGCTCTGCAAGGCTGAACTGCTGGACAGAGATGCTCCTCAGTTTTGCCAGGGAAGTGATGGGAATCGCACTGGCCAGGAGGGGTGGAATAGGGCTTCCCAGCTGTGGGGCATGAACTGTGGGGCCTGAATTCCCTTCCATCCCCGAGCTCTTGTCCTGCTCAGCCTTTCTAGTGCAGTGGGGCCGGAGGGCTGTGGGTGTCCCTGGAGTGCTCTCCCCTGTCCGGAGGTGCACCCTGCCATCTCACGGCCTCTCTTGCTCTCCCTGTGCCTGAGCAGACAAGGACCCCCCAGCTGTGAAGAAAGTCTCCAACCTCACTCTGAACTTCGGGCCCCAGCACCCAGCCGCCCACGGGGTCCTGCGGCTGGTCATGGAGCTGAGTGGAGAGACCGTGAAGAAATGCGACCCCCACATCGGCCTGCTGCACCGCGGCACAGAGAAACTCATAGAGTACAAGACCTATCTCCAGGTAACAGTGGGGGGACTGTGACCCCAGGTCCCTGCCTGGACACCCCAATCCCAGGGCAGCAGTGTGGTGGGCTCCATCGGCCTGCAGCTCCGTTGTGTGCTCCCGCAGTGCTCCAAGGGCTTTTGCACCCAGGCCAAATCAGGACTTTGGGGCCCCCTGCTCTTCTGCCCCACAGCCCTGCCCTGCAGTCAGCAATGCTGTCCCGGCTGCCCAGTGCATTCCAACCTAGCCCCACCTGGCAGGCGAGTGGGGGGCCCTGGAGGCAGTCTGCCTTGCCCATACTGCAGAGTGACCTGGGGCAGCCTGTCCCTTTCAGCGGCAGGGGTATTTGGGGGGGCATCTCGGGGGCGGGGGGGGGCGGGCAGGGAGAAGCAGCAGGGAGCAGAGCGTCTCTCTTTAAAGAGAGAGAGTGTTGTCCAGTGGCTTGCGTAGGCGAGCGGCAGCCAGGACTCCTGGGTTCCAGTCCCAGTTCACTCACTGTGGGGCAAGTCCGTTTCCCTCTCTGTAAGGGGAAATACTGCCTTGTCTGACCTGGGGTCATGGGCTCTGATCCCTGTTTGTAAAACGCTTTGGGACCCTCAGGCGCCGTGGGCGGGGCGGCGCAGCGGTAGGGAACGCCAAGGTCCTGCCCCTTGGAGGAAAGAACAAGGGCTGACACAAGCAGGACAAAAAACGCGCACGTGTGTGTCTCTTGTTTAACAAGAGACGTCAGCAGCCTCCGAGGAAGCTGGGAAGATGGAGTGTCCTGCCAGACTTTGCATTAGGGCCTTGTAAACGGAGCTCCCTTGATTTACTGTCCGGATCAGATGTAACCTTTCTAGCCGCTGGGGAAGTAGCACTTAAAGTAATCCAGCCCAGTAAACATGGGGCGGGAGCCAGGCAGAGCTGCGGGTGCCAGAGCGCTCTGGACGCGCTCGGGGCGTGCAGCCAAGGCAGAGGCAGCTTAGTGACGCGCTCCCTTGGCGGCCCAAGCTGGCTGTAGCGGCGCAGAGCGTAAGCGCCTGGCTGGCCTTCGGAGGCAGGCGATTCCCAGTGAGCGAGTCCCCACTCGTGCCCCGTAAGTCGGGGGGAGGCAGGCGGGCACATGCTGCCAGTTTGCCCACAGAGCGGGAGCAGGACCAGGGTGAGCGTTGAGTGACTGGGAAGCAGCGCTCCCCTCTGTCAGAACAGGGAGGCAGCCAGCTTGGGGTGGACTGTGAATGATGAAGGCCCTTTGGGCTGGTGACTCGTTGTGGGGGCGCTGTTCAGCTCATCAGCGTTAGCCAGTGTTTGTGCCAGGCTCTGGGCAGAGGCAGAGCTCCTACCTCCATGGGGAGACATGCCAAGTTTCACTTCCCTGCTCAGCTTGCTGGGGGCTGGTGCTTCCCTCGTGCCAGCCGGTTCTGTTTCACTTTCAGGTCCTCATGCGCTGACTCAGTGCTGTTCAGAGGGGGTGTTTGAGGGCTAGAGGAAGGATAATGAGGGTCAGGATCCTGGTTCTGTCACGGACTCCTTGGGCAGGTCACGACACACCACCGTGCCTCAGTTTCCCTGCCTGTACACGAGGGGTGCAGATGATCTGACAGTTCCCTTCCTCTGTGCTGCTGTTCTAGAGGCACAGAGAGCATGTGCAGTACAGCTCTGTCCAGGGGCTAGGCCAGCAGCTGGGGGCTGGAAGGATGGATTCAGATCTCACTGGCGCATTGACTTCAGCGGAGCTCCTCCTGATTTACACCACAGAGCCCTGGTCAGGCGCCATCACTGTCGTCGGCAGCACTGAATCTGTGTGGCTTCCGCAGCACCGCTCCCCCAGCTTTATCTTCAGAGGAGAGGGTCAGCCGCCAGCTGTGTAGTGCCGGGGATGCCGACTCACTGCCCGAGTGACAGCAATCCGAGTGCTGCTGCCTAGGTGTGCGAGCAGTACCGTGCATGCCCTGCAGAGACACAGCATTGTGATCTGACCCCCAGGCACCAGCCTTGGAAGGCTGTTCACATGGGCCTTGCAGGCAGTTTAGGGTTTGGTGGCGGGCAGGAACTTTCCTCTGTCTGCTCCAAACTCGGCAGGCCACAGCTGTAGCTATTGACTTGTAGGTGAA